CCCCAAAACCCCAAAACCCCAAAACCCCAAAACCCCTCAGCTTGTACAAATAATTGAACAATAAACATTGGCTGACCATAAAGTAGGATTGAGAATGATATAAATTGCATTTTAGGAGAATTATAATTCTATTTTTAGAGGCTTGGGCAGAATCTCTAAACTGGTCCAATAACTAAGCTTGGGTATTGAATAATAGAGAATTTGCTGGAGAATAAGACTTAATGAAAACACCTTATGCCCATCTCTACTTTTTGGAAACAACTTATGAATTTTTATCAGAATATGATAAATATTTGGTCAGCAAGCGAGGGTTCTTTGACTCTGATGTTGGAGCGATCTTCTTGGAAACCAATGCCTTTTTGGGGGTTGTTCCATCGTATGTTTTGAATAACTTGATCGGTTTTCCTTTGGGCACTTGCTTCTAAAATATGTTATAAGCAGATCTTTTTGGGTTGAAAGTAAATTCACTAAGGTTTGTCTGGCTCTAATACTTGTTCTGGTTTGCCCAAAACGAGAACATTTATGTATAAATTAGTACAATTCTAATTATTCATTGCAGAAAAATATGAATTAGGTTACCTTTATCATGCTGAGCTTCTTTGTATGTGTGCTCGGGATTTTCCCAATAGTATTTGTATTCTTGTTCAGGATTAAATTAATCTTAGCCAAGTCACCAAAGGTGTGGCTGGATTTTTGCTTGATCCTCTTGCCTTGCTTAGTATAGCTGCTCTCAAACTTGGTTCTGGAGTTTGCTTCATCCAAGTATCCTAATTTGCTCCCTTTACCAGCAATATACTTCTTTCTGGTGATTCCTTTAGCTTGGATAGTCGAGTAGCTACCTCCACTAGTAACATTTTTCCTGTGTTTTGGGAGGGAAATCGGTACGTTTTTGGCAATATTTTTGAGCCCTTTTCTGTTTTTGGAATAGTTCATAGTGGTTTTGTTCTGGATTCTTCCATTCACAATATCTCTGGGGTTTGAAGATGAGAGCTGCTGTTGGACACCCTTTACTCCGTGATATTTGCTACTTTTATTGAGTAGTCCTACTCGGGTGGCTTTAAACCTATCCTTTTTCTTATTGAAAGACTTCGTATTAGTCTTTATAAGTTAGTCACAGCTCTGGTTGTTTGAGCTTTGAAAGAATTCTTGGTCATGTCGTTGACGAACTTGTGAGTGGTCATTGCAGCATTAACCTTGTTTCCAATGCTCTTAAAGTTCTTCTCAGTATGTCTCTTCATGTGAACTGGCTGGTAGAGGTTAGTTCTAGTTCTCTGAAATTTAGAAGTCTTTTGTTCGCTCGAAAATTTTGGATTCTGTTTGTTCGAATTTAATGTAATTTTTACCTTTGCAGCATTACTCGATTTCCCCACTTTCGGATCAAGTTTTTGAGGGCTTAATTTGATAAGTTGAGATTTACTTTCTTCTGTTTTGACCTGCTTGTCGAGTAGTTTAGCAAGTTTGGTGACTGCATCTTCATAAATGAAATGTGCACCAGTTATATCTCAGTGATTTTTCTCGTTTTCACCAGCATTGTCATCATAGTAAATACCTTTATAGTTATTGGCATCAAAGAACTCATCGTCTTCCTGCTCTTGAGTATGGACTCTGTCTCTAGGATCGCCTGTCTTGGCATTTTCAGCAAGGAGTCCTGTGTCATCATCTGAATCTTCATCCAGGAATTCGAAGTCTTCTTGGTCATTGTCTGGATAGAGTGCATCACCTTCTGTATAGAATCTGTCTTCCATTTCCAACTGATATTTATTATTTTAATAAATGGGGTTTTGGGGTTTTGGGGTTTTGGGGTTTTGGGGTTTTGGGGTTTTGGGGTTTTGGGG